TAATAAATGAGCTGAATATATAAATATAAAAATAACTTAATTTTAAAAATTTTAGCCATAAAAATTGCCATTTATTGATAAGACTATGTCTTGTCTCTAAAATCATGCTGCTGTTAATGGCTGCAAGCATTAGAGGTATGAAGGAGTACATGTCAGGAGTTGCAATTTGGCACAGAGTATTTGGTGCCAAAATCATGTGCACATAAAATAAACCAGACTTGTAGGTAGTCAGGGGACTGAGAACTGAGTCAAAATAAAATACAAAATGCTGAAACTGTTTCTAGAAACAGGCACGAGTGCGAGATTTTCGCATGCGTTTGTGACTGAAGGGTCGGCACCTCTTTGATGCCATGTCAGGATGACACCACCGTGTCTCGTTTGACACAGAAGCCGTGCTAACTAGGTCACACAAGCGGTCGCATAATGGAGTGATCAGATTCAGGATGGAGGGAGAGACAGCGCACCGGAAGTGACTTACTCAGAAACAAATTAACGTAACAACTATTTAATGGGTAACGATAGGCCATACAGGGCATACAACATTTTGATCTTAACGATACTAGATTGTAGATATATTGGTTCCAGGGATATTAGATATATATATCGGATATTAATGTTCCATGATTTCCGAGAGAGCATTTACAGTAAATACGCATGGCGATAAATACCTTTTATGATATCTTGATCAGTAGCCCATTGGTAAGACAGAAAATCCGGCAAGACATTTGTAATTCCAATAGTTCTGGTGATCCTTGATATTAGGTGAGATGAGATATTAGGCAATCCTTGATATTATGCGAGGTATCCAAAAAAAAGAGCACAGGTTATACATAAAAGTTTTCACGAGAAAATTAAATCGAGTAGTCCAATTGAAGAACTGGCGATGACTGCCCACTTTGTTGTTCTGTTCTATATGTTGTACTGTTGAAATCGAAATATTAGGTCGAAAGGTGATGAGAAAGCATCGTTACTGGGCCTGAGAACTTAACAGATGTTTAGCTCCCAGGTGTGAAAGTTGACAGTTATTTAATGAAAGTATAGCTACGATGTGATGTTAGGAGATAATGATATAAACATACTGAAAGTCTGGATTCGGATCTTCACATGTTGCTCGCGCTCTCCAAGACATAGTCTCATCCCAAGAATGGCTTTGCCATTTTACTTGTTTAATATCTAATACAATAAATAATTAATTAATATTTAAGCATTTGAGAAATTTATTTAAAATTATAGCTAAACAATGTCTGTAATGTTTTATCTTTAAATAAATTTGTTTGTATATGATATACTTATTTAAAATATTGCATGATCATACATTAATTATGTCATATATTTAGGATACAAAATTTGCCTTTGTATTTACCTTCCTAAAGTTATTTAATTGATATATTATGCTTATCTAAATGTGTATTTTTAGCTGCATAATTGGAAATGCAGCTGGATTTTTAAATTGGTTCCAGTTTTTTATGTTGTAAATCAAATTATTTGCATGAAATTAAAGATTGAAATGCCATATGACAATTTGTTATAAGTGTGTTCAGTAGTATGTAACAATTTTTAAATAACAAAAGAATCAAAAATAATCATTGACTGAAAAATTTAAAAAATTAAATTATGGCATAATAAGTAGAGGGATGAAGTATTTTAAATTATGATTTTACAAGGTCTGTTCAAAAAGTATCGGACCTTTTTTTTTCCGCGTAAACCAATGATGCGTGAGAGGCCTCCTTCGGTGGAGTTGTGGAGGGGACAGTCATGCACAGCTCTGAATTTTTTCCCGCCTGCAGGAAGCGTCAGTCGTTGGCAATCGGCCTATGAGTGAGGTCATGTAGTGCGCTCTCGTCGGATTCCACTAAGCTGGAAAATGACTGAACGTGAGCAGCGATATTACATCAAATTTTGCCAAAAACCTTGGTGATACCCGAGCGTAAACAATTCGCAAGATTCAGCAGGCTTTTGGGGACGATCCTCGAGGCCAAAAAAAGTGCGGCAGGTCCGCAGCAATATTAAAGGTCATGTTGACAGTTTTTTCGACTCTCGTGGGGTGGTGTGTCATGAGTACGCACCACAAGGCCAAACCATCGCACCAGGAGGTCCTTTGTTGTCTTTCCGATGCTGTGCAACGCAAACGACCGGATCTGTGGTCGATCAAAACTTGGCAGCTCCATCGTGATAACGCATCCGCCCATTCTGTGCATCTGATTCGGGCTTTCTTTGCCAAACACAACACTCCTGTGGTTCGTCACACTCCGTACTCTCCCAACATGGCTCTGTGTGACTTTTGGCTATTTCCCAAGCTGAAAATGCCACTAAAAGGAACCCGAAGTTAGTCGAGAGAAGACATCATGCAAAATCTGACGGACCGGCTGATGGCCATTCCAAAAGATGCGTTCCAGCAGTGTTTCCAGCAATAGCAGGAACGCTGGGAGAAGTGTATACACTACCAAGGAGACTACTTTGGAGGGGATTAGGGTTTTGTACCTCAAAATCAATAAATTTATTTTTGCCAACCAAAGGTCCGATACTTTTTGAACAGACCTCGTAATTTGTTCTGCTATATCTTTAAATTGTTTTATTAACTAATATTTTCTTGTTAGCAGAAAGCATATATATACATATAAAAAAAACATAGGTTATACACAAGGTGATTATCCAGCAGAAAAGAGGGTAAGGGAAAGGAGGGGAAGACGGAGGGAGAGAAGATAGACAGTAGAGAAAGGTAGGATCCCTCTGAACAACATACATATGGCTACAATACCATCTATGTTCAGGGCCGGATCATCGCATAGACATATGAGACAAATGTCTAGGGCCCGGTTTTTAGAAGGGCCTGGTCAAACTGTCTATTTTGAAAAGATTTGTAAATAAGATAGTTTACTTTTCTGTTGGACAACTGTATATAATAAACAAATATATACAGTATTGCTTTTTATATGGTTTTAGTGAATTCTAAAATCTAAAGAAAATGTACGAGGGTTGTTCAAAAAGTTCCTGGACTTTTTGAATAGCGCGTTTCCAGTTGGTTATTTTTTTAATTCGCTTGAAGGAATTGTGTCTGCGGAAACCTCCCGAGTAACTTCCTTCAACCCGTTTGTTAATATCTTGTTTTGGTGATTAGTTACGGCCGTTTATGTGAAGGGGTCTTTGTGGGGTTCAGCAAAAACTCAGATCCGCAGAAATCAGCTCTTTGAAAGAGCAGCGTTGTTCTGTGAAATTCTGTGTGAAACTCCGAAAATCCTTCACGGAAACTTCCCACGGGTGGGTGAAACAGCCCCCGCTGCAAAAAAGCTCGACAAGTTCGCTCAAATGTTAATGTGATGTTGACTGTTTTTTTCGGTGCAAAGGGGGTTGTGCATCACGAATACCTATCTACAGGCCAGACAGTCAACACGGAGTACTACTTGGTGTTATGAAACGCCTAAGAGACAGAATCAGGCGAAAACGGCCCGAACTTTGGAGGAGCGGCGAGTGGTTTTTTTTCATCACGACAACGCGCCGGCGCATTTGTCCCTCAGAATTCGTGAGTTTTTGGCCCCCCTACTCATCTGACTTGACACAAAGAGACTTTTTCCTGTTCTCCAACAAACTAAAAAACACGCTCAAAGGAAAAAGATTTGCCACCTTTCCAGAGATAGAAAAAAACGATGGAGGAGCTTACGAGCATTCCGGAAAAAGCGTTCCAGAACTGTTTCAAAAAGTGGAAACACCGTTGAAATAAGTGTATACGTTGCGGAGGAGACTACTATGAAGGGGACCCTGACAAATATGTGAAGTATTTTTCTTTTGTAATAAATAAAGTTTAAGAACTTTTTGAACAACCCTCGTATTCTTATCTTTCTTCTAATTGAAAGTAAAAGAAAACTCCCAATAATTTAGAATTACTTTTATAGCGATAAGAATAATATTAACTATCTGTATTCTTAAATCCTGTGAAATTTTGCTTTTATTTTTTATTAAGCAGCTGCAGTGTCCGTATGCAATTTAATAGAAATAATAGTAACAAAATTTATTAATTGAAATTTTCTTCTTCAAAATGTCTAGGGCCCCAAAGTGGGTTAATCCGGCCCTGTCTATGTTTAAAGTTGGCATGCAGTTTTTAGGCTGCAAGGTCATAGTCCCCAAAGGGTCTAAAAGAAAATCTGAGTGTAGCTAACACCAATAATTGAGTGCTGCCACGAATAGCTAAGTGTAGAAGTTAGTGCCAAGTGGCTGTTAATAGAAAGACTTATATCTACTTAATACTAATAAAACTAAATGCAAGCACGAATCTTAATACTACTTAACAGCTAGAGAGACAGTGCAAGAAACAAACGAACACAATGACAAAGCACATGAGACAAACAGATTGACAGAAGACACAAGCAAGACCCATATTTTTTTTTAAACATTAACTTACTCACTAACTAAACTAACCTTTCATAACCTAGGACAAACCTAATGAGATGACAAAAGCTTACAAACCCTAATATAATTTAACCTAACCAGAAACCAAGCTAAGAGTCCCTAATCTAACTTGCAACTAGAACCAACTTAAACTTACTGAATTTAGACTGAAACTTAAATACAAAGTTGAAAGGCAGCCATATATTGACAGTTGAAACAAAGCAAGGGAAAACTAATTGCCATATGTGCCCCCAGAGTGAGCGCTCTTAACAGCCCACTAAGGGATATGAATGTGAGTAGATGATGGAATATTGTACACTAGTAACTCGGGATGCCCCTTAGTGGGTGTTCTTTACAAATTTCCATGAGGCATGGTTCCTTTGACTTCTTTGTTTCTATCAATATGCTCTACAGCTCCATTAAAGTCCCAATGGTAAGATTTACCCTCTGAATGAAGGGGTCGCCACCCCTTCATTCAGACTGCCCCATAGGTGCTGGAGTAACCAACTTATAATATATAACTTAAATATTTTTATTACAAAAAAAGTATTTTATATTATAAAAGTATTTTTATTACAAAAGAATCTTGTTATTTGAATTCTTGAATTATAAAACAGATATTGACCAATGGAATAAAATCATTGAACAGTTAGGTACTCCATCACAGGATTTTATGAAACGACTACAACCGACTGTTCGAAATTATGTTGAAAATAGACCTAAATATACTGGTTACACATTCGAAAAATTATTTCCAGATGTTTTATTTCCAGCGGATAGTTCAGAACATAGTAGACTGAAAGGTAATTTTTTGTAATTGAAGTGTTAATATTGTTTATTGAATGTGGTATTCAAGAAATAAAATTTTCAGCTAGTCAAGCGCGTGATTTGTTGTCCAAAATGTTAGTGATAGATCCCGAAAAAAGGATATCAGTCGATGAAGCTCTTATGCATCCATACATTAATGTCTGGTATGATGAGAGTGAAGTTAATGCTGTAAGTATTTTATTAAATTTATTAATCTTGTATACATGTATAGAAAGAAGTTAGTTTATAAAATATTTATATTTTAGCCTGCTCCTGCTCCCTATGATCATTCAGTAGATGAAAGAGAACATACTGTTGAACAGTGGAAAGGTATTTATTTATTTTTCAAATACAAGACTGAAAATAATGAATTAACTGTTAAAAATATTAAAAATTAAAAATGTTAAAGGTACTAATACAACATACTGATATCATATTGGTACTTTTCCTTCAATACTGAGTATGTTATAACTCGATCCAATACCAATACCAGTATTGATATTTTTCTTCAGATATCAGATCCTAGTATCATTACATTTTTCACAGATAAGTAAGGTCCAACCAAAATTGGATTTTGCAAACAAACTGAATTTTGGTTTTAAAGTCAGTTTCAGCTGAAACCGAATATTACTCTACTTTCAGTTAAGATAAACTTTAAACAACGCTATCAACAATTGTGGAATTTTGTCTGTAGGGAGATTGCATGGCAATTAAGATGAGATATATAGGTTTTTTATAAAGTTAAACTTATATAGTAAATATTAAGGACTAAAAATTAATAAATTTATATCAAATTTCAGTTCCAGAATCTACAAATGCTTAGAATTCGGATCACTATTTACAAATAACTCTCCAGTAAATTATTTGAAAAACTTTCAAATGTATTAAAATCTCAAATCAGCTGATATACTGTTGGTAACATTTAGTTTATACTGACCTTTAAACATTCAATCTGCTGATGTATTGACTTTTTAATTTTCTGCTAAAATGCTTGTGCTGCTGATAGATTGGCTCCTGGAAATTCTCAGAATTTTTCTTTTGTGACATTTCATAGAAGAATGTGTCGACCAGTAGAAGATTCTAGATCTAATTAACATATTTCCTATTAAATGGCGTTGTTACATTTAAGACAAAGAATTTTTCAAAAAGTTTTCACTATTTTATTTGCATTTCTCATCCTGCACGGAGTGTTTCCTTGTTTCTTGACACCATACATTCGAGTTTACTGTCCTTATTTTATAAAGTATATCATTTTAGTATGTTTGTTAATTTTTATTTATCATATTTACTCTATATTATTTTTAGTTTGTGATATTATTTTCATAGTTGTTTAGNCTAAAAATCATTATTATTATATTATTAATATTAATTATTTTTTACTATACGATAAGTGCTCATTGTTAATGAAAAAGTATTAAAAATTTATGATAATAATTCAAGTTTTATGGGCCTTTGACATTTGGGGGCCCAGGGCTTTAGCCTTATTAGTCCCCATGTAGATTTGAGAGTACCATTAATACATCTTTGGCATTTTATGTTAGCAAAACAGTATTTTTCTCACATTTTTATCATATTTTTGTTAATGGTTTTGCTGTTTAATGGGGAGGAAGTTTGCTGTCTTACTACATTTTCAACTATTAATGTAATAAATAAATAAAATCTAAAAGTCAAATTAACTTATTTTCAGGTTAATTCCTAAAACATAATTTAGCTGTCAGATATGGTTGCTTATTAAAACTGAGGTATAGTTTATTACAATAATTTATTAGACTTTATGCTATTTGCCAGTTACTTTGTTATAACAAATAAGAATAATTTGATTTATAATTGTTACTTAGGTTGTAATTCAACATTTTACAATAATTTGATAGTTATTTTTAATGAATGCAAACTATCTTTAATGAAATTTTAAAGTAGTTTTAAATAATCATAATTTACTATTACAGAATCTCACCATTGCAAAAAAATTGACACACCTTAAAGTCAGCATTTGATAGCAATCAAATATAGAACCTGGAAAGATAATATAAAAATGAAATTATTACACTTTTACAGCAGAAGGATACATTATTAAAGAAATGTTACAAATTAGAAAATGGCAAACTAGTCTGGCAATAAAGCTGAGAAATGTCAAGAGATTGTTCTACAACTGCTAAAAGGCAATACTGTGATGAAACTGCTCTTCAATGATATATCCTTGTGCTGTGATATTGTAAAGAATTTTCCATATTTTTACTATTATTCCACATGCTGAATTTGATTTACTATTGCATGCCAGTTTTAAGGTGCATTGATCTTCTTATTTTAAATAAGAGCATTTCATTATTCAATCTCTTACTTGGTTTTAAATTATCCTTCTATTCTTATTATCGTATTTATATTGTTATTGATAAGATTCCAATTTTTAAATTTTAATAGTTGACATCTGGTCAGTTGGATGTATTATGGGAGAAATGATTAGAGGAGCTGTATTGTTTCCTGGAACAGACCGTATCCTTTTGTGTATATATGTATATATATTTTGGAGTCTTGATCAAATAATTGCAGATTTCAATTAATAAAACAAATTTATTAAGCACTCGAATACTGTATAGAGTGCCGGCAGTGTAGTACACGTGGTCAGACAGACTGTCCGGGAGACAAAGACTGAAAACTAAGGGCACGGTAAGTGTTGCCAGGTTGGCCACATACTCCTTCCCCAGTGACAACGCTCAGGAACTTAGAAGGGAAACGTACAGTTCGTCCAGAACGAGTCGTCCGTGGAAAAGGTGCCTGGATTTGCGTGGTCTCATTCGGTAGGTGGTCGTTTCTATCGACAGGTCCATCGTCACTGTTGGAGAATGGCGAAGGGGTGGTTGTAACTTTCAGAAAGAAAGCGGGTTTGAGGCGGTCAATTGAAACAGTTTGCTTTCCTCGAGGTGTATTTAAGTTGAAGTGTTTCTCTGAGCGTCGTAAGACACGGAAAGGGCCATCATAGATTGGTTGTAATGGTTTGCGTGATGCATCATGACGCACGAAGACGTGTGAGGCAGTCATTAACTCCGGGTGTAAAAATATATTTTTAGAAGAGTGGTGGACATCTCTGACTGGGCGAATCGACCTCATGTGATCTTTTAACCTGCAGATCAATGTAGGAAAATTATTGGCAGAAGTAGTCTCATGGTCAGCGAGGAGATCAGAAGGCAGTGCAATGGGTTCGCCGTACGTAATCTCTGCTGCTGTAGTGTTATAATTGGGGATGACATAGGATCTTAGCCCCAAGAGGATGGTTGGGAGTTTAGCAACCCAATTATNGTATTTTATTAAATTTATTAATCTTGTATACATGTATAGAAAGAAGTTAGTTTATAAAATATTTATATTTTAGCCTGCTCCTGCTCCCTATGATCATTCAGTAGATGAAAGAGAACATACTGTTGAACAGTGGAAAGGTATTTATTTATTTTTCAAATACAAGACTGAAAATAATGAATTAACTGTTAAAAATATTAAAAATTAAAAATGTTAAAGGTACTAATACAACATACTGATATCATATTGGTACTTTTCCTTCAATACTGAGTATGTTATAACTCGATCCAATACCAATACCAGTATTGATATTTTTCTTCAGATATCAGATCCTAGTATCATTACATTTTTCACAGATAAGTAAGGTCCAACCAAAATTGGATTTTGCAAACAAACTGAATTTTGGTTTTAAAGTCAGTTTCAGCTGAAACCGAATATTACTCTACTTTCAGTTAAGATAAACTTTAAACAACGCTATCAACAATTGTGGAATTTTGTCTGTAGGGAGATTGCATGGCAATTAAGATGAGATATATAGGTTTTTTATAAAGTTAAACTTATATAGTAAATATTAAGGACTAAAAATTAATAAATTTATATCAAATTTCAGTTCCAGAATCTACAAATGCTTAGAATTCGGATCACTATTTACAAATAACTCTCCAGTAAATTATTTGAAAAACTTTCAAATGTATTAAAATCTCAAATCAGCTGATATACTGTTGGTAACATTTAGTTTATACTGACCTTTAAACATTCAATCTGCTGATGTATTGACTTTTTAATTTTCTGCTAAAATGCTTGTGCTGCTGATAGATTGGCTCCTGGAAATTCTCAGAATTTTTCTTTTGTGACATTTCATAGAAGAATGTGTCGACCAGTAGAAGATTCTAGATCTAATTAACATATTTCCTATTAAATGGCGTTGTTACATTTAAGACAAAGAATTTTTCAAAAAGTTTTCACTATTTTATTTGCATTTCTCATCCTGCACGGAGTGTTTCCTTGTTTCTTGACACCATACATTCGAGTTTACTGTCCTTATTTTATAAAGTATATCATTTTAGTATGTTTGTTAATTTTTATTTATCATATTTACTCTATATTATTTTTAGTTTGTGATATTATTTTCATAGTTGTTTAGTAATTTATTTTATTTTATTTATTTTTTAAATTATGATATCACGCTGAAAATTGCAGTAGATTTGATCTTATTTTTGTTTTGGTTTTTTAATCAGGAACACATCACAGTTTATGACTGTTAAGTTTTAAAAAATAATTAAACTTTAGATTTGAAAACACCAAAAAATTATTTTTTAAACATCCGATTAATTTTTTTATATATAGTAATTATATATATCTATTTTATTTCAAATAATTAGAGCTGAAAAACAAAGAAAATAACGATTTTATAGCATATTTTTACATTATGACCTTGATGACACAACAGCAAAAACAGGTATGGCTTTTGCAGGTAAAGTCCTACCCCATGGTTCAGAGCTGATGCTTATTCATTTAAGGAAAGTCAATCAACATAAAAATATTAACTCAAGCTTAAAAGATGTTTATACAAGAGGTTTAATAATCAATAATTTACAAGTTCTTTTATAAACTTACTAGCAGACCCTGCCATGCGTTGTTGTGACTCAAAATGTATCTATTATAAATGTATAACACTTCCCCGTGGGGGAATTTTTTGAAAAATCCCTTCTTAGAGTACATTCTCTTGACGTACCCTATTAAAATGCAATCAAAAACACAAAAACCCACATCTAAAATAGTATAAATAGAAGCAGAGTTCTTCATGCTAAGCCTTAATCCTTTCCATTTCCCCTCAGTGGGGGGAATTTCTACATGTATATTATATAAAAACATGTGCATATTCGAATGCAATGTTGTGTCAAAGTTTCAAAGGAATTGGTAGGAACAAACGAAAATTACATTTTTATCTATACTAATATAATAAAGAGGTAATGTTTGTATGTATGTAAGTTTGGATGCAGCAGGTAATCTCCAAAACTACTCATCCGATTTCAAAA